TTCCAGTCCAATGGGATCGACCTTAAAACGAAATACAACTACCAGTCCAATGGGAACAACCCCGAAACGAAATACTATTACCAGCCCAATGGGAACAACTTCGAAACCAAAGACAACTACCAGTCCATTGGGAACAACCCTGAAAAGAAATACAACTGCCACCCCTATGGGATCTACCTCGAGGTTAAATACAACCTCAAGTTCAAAAGGATTAACTGCAAAACCAATGACAACTACCAGCCCAAAGGGATTAACCACGAAACCAATAACAACTACCAGCCCAAAGGGATTAACCACGAAACCAATGACAACTATCAGCCCAAAGGGATTAACCACGAAACCAATGACAACTACCAGCCCAAAGGGATTAACCACGAAACCAATAACAACTACCAGCCCTAAGGGATTGACCACGAGACCAATTACAAATACCAGCCCAAAAGGATCAACCCTAAAATCAATGACAACTACCAATCCTAAGGGAATAACCACGAAACCAATGACAAACACCAGCCCTAAGGGATTAACCACGAAATCAATGCCAGCGACCATACCTACAAAAGTAACCACACCAATTAAAATTACTGCCAAACCTACAAAAGTAACCACACCATTTAAAATTACTGCCAAACCTACAAAGGCAACCACACCATTTAGAATAACTCCCAGTACTCCGAAATCAGCTTCACAACAACAAACAATTCAACAAGGACAAAAATCACAACAGACTGCATCAAATTCAAGCCCTCAGAAACAAGTGGCAGCACCTAACCCTCAGAAACAAGCAGCAACACCTGCATCTCAAGCATCACCTCCAAGCACCAGTGGTCAGTCAAGTGCTAAAACAAATGCCCAAAAATCGAACCCCAAAGGCTAGAACCGTATTCGTTTGCTATTAGTGCTTGCTAAATTGTAACTTGCGTACTTATAATTTAATTGTCTAAGATAATTTTGTTTAATAAAAACATTGAAAAATAAAATAATTTGTTTATCAATAATATTTTAAAACAAACCACTGTTAGTGAATTGGTTATACATTATTAGGGATTCACCGAAAAGACCTAAAACGGGAAAGGCCTAAATTCAAATAACTAACTGACCAAAGGTCTTTTGACTTAATTTAGTATAGGGTAGGTTAGGTTAAGACACGTCTATTTTTGTTTAAATATAGTGGACCGGGTGAGATTGTATTGTGTCAATACTTAAAGTAAACAAATTTTGGAACATCAATGCTCAAAGATTACTAATCCGCAAGATTTCACTTTACAAGTAATCATTAATAACTCAAAATGATACGAAAATGTGCACAAGGTACAGTGAATTTTTGGGTGATCTCAATGGACAGGTATCTGACATCAAACAGAGAGCCGACTCTAAGCTTGGAATCTTCAACTTAGACCTCGGAGCTGACGGGACAGTCAGGGAAGTCATTGGATGGCCTCTGAAATAGGCTTTATTCGGCTTTTACAGGCCTTTAGTAGTAACCTGAACATCAAGGCGCTGATTTGGATATTGGACCCGATCACATAGCCCGAGGTAGATGGTAACAGTATGCGGATATGGGTGAAGTGGTCGACCCCAAAGTCTCAGAGTATAAGGTGGAAGTAAACGTCTAGTCCGAGCTCCTGGATCAGTTTTAAAAATGAAATATTAAAATTTTTAATTTATCATCATGATGCTTACAAGTCTTATTAATTACTGACATCACATGACATATTTTAATATTTAACAAAATAACTAATATTAAAACATATGTTAATTTTGTATTTTTATAAAATTTATTTACTAAAAATTGAATCAATTATTTAATTTATATTTGCAAAATGTATAGTTTATAATTTTATGTCTATTTTTATATTTTTGTATTTCATAAAAATTATTATTAGTGATATTTACCAATATCATTTTGTATTAGATATCGCGAGACATTAATTAAACTTTGGCAAAATTGTTGTTTACAATAATTAAATCTGGCAAATAAAACTAAAAAAGTTGTCAAGCACATTTAATACTGACCAAAAATATTTATTTAATCATAGTGTGTTAAGGAACCTTGCTATTTTAGTCCACCACAAAATTAATCAACTATTAATTGTACAAATAATTATTTTAACATAGACGCCATGTTTTAAATTACACCATTTGTGTGTGTGCTTGTTGCAATTACCGCCAATGGCCGTAATACTAATTAAACTAAAAATACATGAGCATGCTAAAATTAAACAACTTTCTATTTCAGTTCCATTATACAACCAAATGGGACCGGGAGGTTTTGGTGATCTCAATGGACAGGTGGATGACATCAAACAGAGGGAACATACAAAGGGCTGGGAGTCTACATCTCAGGCCCTGGAGCTGAGGGCACAGTTAGTTAAGCCATCGTATGGGGACAGACATCAGTTGGAAGCCAATAGGCAACGCCTTGAACAACGAGAGGCTGAGCTCCGGGAGAGACTGGGGGAGGCCTTTCAAGGGCCTAACCCTGACATACAGGCGCTGAGGGCAGTGTTGGATCAGTTAACCCGAGAGGGACGGCAAATGTTTGCGGAAAAGGATCGAGAGGTCGACCCCGAGTTCGAGGTCCAGGTGCCGGAGTTCTCACAGAGTATTGGGGAAGTGGATGACGAGGCCCTGGTCAGGAGGAACAGTCTGTCTACAGGCTACAGTAGTGTAGCTAAGGAGCTAGCACAGTTACCAGCTTTAGTACGTCATGGAAGGGTACCTAATCAAGGAGGTCTACCGCTTGGATCGCCTGGTTCAGGGACTCAACCACCACCAACAGCACCAGGACCTCATGGAAAGGGATCTCAACAAGTTGTACCAGATCCTGGAGTTCAGGGATCAGTCACACAAGTACCAGCTACAGGTCCTCATGGAGGGGCTCCTCAACCACAAGTTACAACTTTAAGACCTAATATCCATAAGGAACTGGATGTAAATGTGGATGAAATGGGGAATAGCCAATTTAGCAGTAATACTATCGTACTACCGAATGACCACGTTATATCATCAGGGCAGGTTTACATTGAGGGAGAGACACCACAATCAACCGGACTTACTCCATTGTCAAATGCACAGCACCAGGGACAAGTTATACAAGTGTCAACCTCTGGTGCCTACCGCACGAAGGAATGGGATCTGGATATTAACAAAAATTGGGAAATCCAACCTAATGTTGCGGTACTACCTAATAGCACCGTTATTCCACAACAAGTACTGGCTCCGGGATCTCAAAAATTAGCATTCAAAAATCAAGTACTAGCTCAACAAAATCAGGGGCCAGTTATTCAGCCATTACTTCCAGGTCCTCCAAATCAAGTACCACCTCCCGGCCTCCATGGGTCAGCCCTTTAGCCACAAGAAACAACTTCCGCACCTCAGGTACTCCTCCCACCACAAGGTACACCTACGGCACCAGTCCCTCAGCTACAAAACCCAACTACAGGGGCTCAAGGTTTAAGCCCTCAGCAAGAAATACCAGCTCCAGGACAATACGCACCCACTTCACCAGTAATAGCTCCGGTATCTCTGGGATCAACTCTGGGAACGACTCCAGCAGCTCGGACACCAGTCCCACAGTACCCGGGAAATGTGCCCGAGCAGAAAAGTACAGCACCGTTACCTCAAGTGTCAACCGATCAACACGTACCGGCTCAACCTAATAGTACAGGTAGTCCACCGCTACAGATACAGCCATATGGACAGACACTTCAACAACAAGGAACTGCTAGTGAAACACAAATGTTAGCCTCAAAGCAACCTCTGATATAACAGTTAATTATAATGTAAAAGCAATTTATTTTAATAAATGCTTGCTAAATTCATTTTAAATTTTTAATATTTATAGAAACTATTCTAAAATAAACTTATAATTTTTTTTATAAAATTGCATATTTTAATTATTATTAGTTATTTTGTATTTATTCACCATACTCTACTAGTATATCAATAATCATATTATTTCTGAAAAATGATACCCAAAAAAATGTTGTGATTAATATGAGCAGAAATATATTTTAAAATTGTTTATTTCAATTATTATAAAACAACCCTTTTTTTAATTGGTCATATTTCAGGTAGAATAACATTATGTATGTCCGAGAGAGAGAGAGAGAGAGCTATTTATACGTAATTACAATTATAATTATAAAATTATTAATTAATTTAACAATAAAATCTTTATCATACTTTTAAAAATTAATACAAATTAAATATTTTATAGTAATTTAAAAGTAGCTTTCTCGCTTTGCCTGGGTCTGAGTCTGGGTCAGGGTTTTAAAGTCAATCCCAGTAGAGTGTATACTGTCAACAGACCGATTGACTATGTCTATAGTTATATTATATATTATTATTATTAAAATAGTTTCAAACATAATTTATATTTTATTATTATAATTATTATTATTATTATTATAATATACTGTTCATTGGGCAGCTTTTATTTTGTTTTAATTCTATGATTTTATTAGTAGCTATATTTATTATAAAGTGTTAGCCTTAATATGAAAACATTTCATGTCAAAAATATATTATATTAAAATATAACAAGCTATTTTAAATTATTGGTCTAATCAAACTATATTAGTCAAGGAATTATACCAAAGTGTCCATGTTTTATAAGTTAGCCTTGTAAAAAATATACGACATGGGTCACAACTTATACCACCTACATAATTATATTCTAGATTACATTGAAAAATAAAAATTAGTTATATGCTGCATATTATGGCTTTAATGTAACATTTCTATATTACTTCAAAAAATATGTGTCTATAAAATAAACCATTATAATTTCTTAAACACTAAACAATTTAAATACTAAACATTTCTAGATTAATTTATTACAATATCCCAGGTGTGCCCGGTGTGCCCAGTGTGCCCAGTGTGCCAAAAAGTCAGTGTGCCGGTGTGCCCAGTGTGCCCGGTGTGCCCAGTGTGCCAAAAAGTCAGTCCCTATAAAATCATTTATGATACTGTACAAAATTTTGTATTAAAACATCCAGGTATAAATATCAACCAAATAATGAGATACTCGAGACTACACTTTTTAAATCCAGTTTCCATTATGAAATTAGCTGAAATAATCAAGACAGTTGACACGAGCACCTATACCTTGGTCCAATTGCGTACATATTTTCGTACAATAAGAAAGTGGGTCCCAGTTTTAGGACACAACCAGCTTTATAGTGAACCGACTGCTACTCCCCTATGAGTAGCAGTCCTTCAAACTGGTTGAGAGGGGAGACGCCTCTGTCGAGAACATAGTCCGGGCCATGAAGTTGGGCGCCGGCTATCCGATGGGTCCGTACGAGCTGTTGGACCTCCAGGGCATCGATACCGTGAAACTGGTGTTTGGGTCCCTTATGGCCAGTAATGACGAGTCGATAGGGATCTCGAAAAGCGAGTTAATCGACAAAATGGTCGGTGAGGGCAGACTCGGCCGTCAGACTGGACACGGATTTTAAAAATAATAAATTAAGATAAAATTTCAAACACTTTTTATTCACTCATTAAATGTATTATTTGTGATGAAAGTGTAAGCTTTCGGTACTTTTTTGCGGCCAGAAATGGACAAAAAAGGACCGAAAAAAGCACCTAGTTTTAGATATTTGTTATCAGGGACATGTACCCTATAATATATTTAAGCCACATCGGTGTACAATGCGGGGGTCAGAGGTATCTTACAGGTCAGTAGTTCATAATGTATAGAAATTGTTAATACAAAACTAATGCATTAATTGTGTCTTAAACTTTATTTTTTATTAAATATATCTGGGACAATAAATAATACATGGTCATAATGTAATAGATATTAAGGATTTTTTTTATAAATAAATGTATAGTGCAAATAATAAGAATGATAAGTTATTTAAGTTATTTTATTTTAGTTTTATGCTGCAAGCAAGCATATTTAAAAAACAATAATTTAAAAAATATGTTTTAAAATAGCACAATCATTCAATTTTATTAAAATTTATATTTGATATTATTAAAATAAGTAATATAATAAGTAAATACGTAGTATAAGACTTTGTTTGAAAAAGTATTATTTGTATTATTTATTAAGTTTCAAATAAATAAAATGAAAGAAATGTCGGAAATAATTGCCGACAATAGGAATGGTATGTCGAGAGAGACCATA